ATGATCCAATTTTATATTAAGAACATAAAAGGTATAATAGTGATATATCGATCACTAATTTTCTCAGTCATCCCCTGTTTTTGAAAAAAAAGAAGTCACATTGATTGTAATTACTCAAATTCCCCTACTTGGGGGCCCTCATTCTCCACAGGGTAGCACCTGCCTCTGCAGTCCCCCCCAGCTATCTCTGAGGAGCCTTATGGGTGTTTCCCACCTGTTAGGACCACAAGCCCCCCATATTCTCTCTCTGGCCTCTTGGTTTCCATCACCTGCAGAGGTGTATGTGGACAGTCCCATCCTTGCTTTAGCTGCTGGTGCCTTGGGAAGGTCTGCTCCAGATGTCCACCTATCACCCACTTTGCTGCAAACATCTGCCTTGGCCCCATGCCATTTTCTGCAAAGAATGAGGAAGGTGAACCCCATGCTGTTCCATGGGGTTGAGCTGTGGCTCAGGGGTGGACTGAGAACCAGAGGCCATGTCAGGAGTCATGCAGACCTCCTCATTTTCTACCTGGCCCCATGCCTACATGCATTTAGCATTGACCTCCCAGTTCTCTCTGCCCCCACAAATGAGCTCATGGTGGGGGCAGGGGGCCTGTTCATCAGCCTGAGCTGATTCCCTGTGTGCATGTGTGTGTACGTGGATGTGCATGTGTGTATACATGTGCACATGTATTCTCAAAGCAATGTAAATAGGAATTTAAAAAAATTTTTAAGATCTAATTTATTTATTTAAGAGAGAGAGAATGAGCAGGGTGAGGGGTAGAGGGAGAAGGAGAAGCAGACTACTCGCTGAGCAGGGAGCCCGATGCAGGGTTCCATCCTAGGACCCTGGGATCATAACCTGAGCCGAAGGCAGATACTTAACCAACTGAGCCACCCAGGTGCCCTAGAATCAAAACTTTTTTTTTTAAAGATTTATTTTTATTTATTTATTTATGACAGACCTAGAGAGAGAGAGAGAAGCAGAGACACAGGCAGAGGGAGAAGCAGGCTCCATGCCAGGAGCCCGACGCGGAACTCGATCCCAGGACTCCAGGATCGTGCCCTGGGCCGAAGGCAGGCGCGAAACCACTGAGCCACCCAGGGATCCCCCTAGAATCAAAACTTTTAATAGTAATTTCTGAATGGCAAGATTGAGGGTGCCAAAATGTTCAATTTTTCTCCCTTACTTGTGTTTTTAAAATTTCTACAATAAACATGTGTTACTTGTATTTAAAAAAATGAAGATGGACTTGAAATCAGCTAATCACTGAATATACCTAACATAATTGCTTAGTACATTTAACTGTGAGTTTCTTGCCATCCAAGGCAAAGTATTTTACCTGTGGCAATGTTAGAGGGGTGGAGGCAGGCGCTGATGGGAGGAGAGGGAGGCAGGGTAGTGGGAAGGGGAGATAGCCATAGGCATACACATCATTGTAAAATTGTGGTTTCGAGTGATTTCTAGTAGAAGACACTTCCCCTTCTTTACATTCAATTTTTCATAAAATCTCAATATCTATATACTGTAAATAACGTGTGTGTGTCTATATCTTTTTTCCAGCTTTTGGAGAATGTAATTCACGTATAGCTAGGTAAGTTTAGGATGTACAAGGGATTGATTTGATACCCTTGTTATCTCTATCTTTGACTAGATAGATCTGAAGATCTGCTTTCCAACAAAGCCCAAACATCCAACACTTCTGGGGTGTGGCAACCTGTTCTTTCTAGAGTGTCAGTTCACTGGGCTCTCTGCCCTGCAGCTGGTGGGGACCAGGCTTGGGCGGGGGCCGGTCACAGGCTGACAATGCAGGGAGTGTACCAGAGGCCAGAGCTTCAGGTGGGGTACCCCTGGCATGAACACTGGCACATGGCTTGGGAGTGGGGGGGGGGGGTGGCTCCAGTTACAGTGACGAAAAGGGGACCATTAGAAAGGTGGTTATTACAGAAGCTGAGTCAGGTCACCATAGGAAACCATAAAACATCCTCGTTCCATTAAATGCTGCACCGTGTGGCCCTCCTTTTTGCTACTAAAGACTATTGGCTCCAGGATGATTTGCACAAAGATTCCTCTTATAACAGGACTTTCAACTCTGGTGGGAACAAGACCAGGGGTTCAAGGGCGCCTGCCAGGTGGGTCTCTGCTGACTTTAGTTCATTAGTGCTTTGCCTCCAAGGGAGTGGCCAAGCACAGAGGATTCTGATTTGAGAGCTGGACTCTCCAAATGCCCCGTTGCAGGGGATAAAATTGCAGTCCCCCTTTCCCTGTCACAACAAAAGAAGGCTCATCCCATGCCCTGTGGAGACTCCTGAATTTGTGTCATCTCCACGTCTGAGCCACTCCCAGCACCTGACACATTTTCTTTCCTTTATTTTCAGAACATTCCCTTTGAAGTTCTGTCCCTTCTCGTCATTGTTCTGTCTCCCAACTTTCTCAATCCCCACCCTGCAGTGCAGCATCTTGCTTAAAACAACTTCAAGAAGAACAACTTTGAGGTGTCTCCCTTTATGTTTTATTTTTTTAAAGATTTATTTATTTATTCATGAGAGACACAGAGAGAGGCAGTGACATAGGCAGAGGGAGAAGCAGGCTCCCCGCAGGGAGCCCGATGTGGGACTCGATCCCAGGACCCCGGGATCATGACCTGAGCCGAAGGCAGAGGCTCAACCCCTGAGCCACCCAGGCATCCCTCCCTTTTTGTTTTAATGCTGAAACTGGCCCCTTGTCTTCCTCACCCCACCAGTCCCCAACAGAGCCCAAACCAGCCAGTGTTTGTTTTTCTTTTTTTTTTAAAGATTTTATTTATTTACTTGAGAGAGAGCAAGAGAGAGAGAGAGAGAGAGAGAGAGAGAAAGAGAGCACAGAGGGAGAGGGAGAAGCAGACTGCCTGCTGCGCAGAGAGCCCAACTCCACTCCCAGGACCCCAAGATCATGACCTGAGCTGAAGGCAGATGCTTAACTGACTGAGCCACTCAGGTGCCCCCCATCCAGTGTTTTTTATTGGTCATTTATCTTTTGCTTAATTACATCAGCTCACATTTTTTGAGCTCAGACTCTGTTTCCAGCACATGCATCACTTAGCTTAATTCTGACAGCAGCCCAACGAAGTAGGTGCTTCAATAAACCCGACTGTTGAGATGAGCAAATTGACTCCTGCCAGGAGCCTGAAGCCTGAAGCCTCACATGAAAGGAAGGTGGAAGATGGCAACTCAGGCCACCTGGATCCCTGTCTGAGCGAGTGAGTCCTCTGGGGAGCCTGCACCAACATTTTTAAAACTTCTAATCCTACCATTCAGCATTTTGGGTGGTTTTTACCATCCCTCACCTTCTGTCTGCAAGGACAGACCACGGTGGAGCTTCCTGGTGCTGGGGTGTAGGTTGACATCTCAAAGCCCCCTGTCCTTATCAATATGTGGCCCAAGGAATAACACAGAGGGCATCAAAGAATAAGATGTTGAACTTGCTCAGACATTTCTGTGCAGATGTCACATCTAACCCTCGACTGGGTAATTTTATTATTAGTCCCATTACATTTTTAAAATTGAGGCAAAATTCATACAACCTAAAATTAGGCATTTGAAAGGCAGCATTTAGTACATCCACACTGTCATGTAACCACCACCTCTGTTTCTTTCCAAAACATTTTCATCACCCCCAAGAGAAAGCCCGTATTCATTTAAGCTGGTTACACCCCAGCCCCTGGAAACCACCAACCACTTCCTGTGTCTATAGATTCATCTCTACTGAATACGTCATATAAATGGAATCCTACAACATGTGGCCTTTTGTGTCTGCCTTCTTTCACCTAGGATCATGTTTTTTCGAGGTTCATCCATGTTGTAGGATGTTTCAGTACTGTTCCTTTTTATGGCTGAGTAATATTCCGTGGTATGCATACCCACATTCTGTTTATGTTCATCTTGGATGGCCACTTGGGGTTCCTCCACCATTGGGCTATGGTGAATAGCGCTGCTATGAACAGTTGTGTACTGAGTATCTGTTTTGAGCACCTGTTTCCAAGTTCTTCTAGGTGTATACCTGGTAGTGGATTTGGGTCATATAGTCATTTCTTTTCTTCTTGAGGAACCGACCTGTGCCATTCTCAAAGCAGGGAATCTGAGGCTGAACGAAATGATGAATTGTCCAAGGTCAGGTGACTGCAGATGACAGAACCAGCGCTAGGACCCAGAAGCTCACACTGCTGTCTGCAGGTGAGGACACACCTGCAGACTGCAGGGAACATCATTCATTCACTCACCAAACATTCATCCGGAGCCAGAGCTTGGCTTTGTGGCAGATTTAGCGATAAGTTCCAGAAAGGAGCTTCCTAATGCCAGAAACTTCGGAAGCAAACAAAACAAGGGTAGTATTTTTAATCATAAGTCAACACGCCCAGCTCACACATAAATTCCATTAAGCCAACAGTCTATTTGAGCACAGCGATGTTCTTCTCACATCTTGCTGCATGTTTTTATGCCAGTGTGGCGAGTTCACGCTGATCCTCCAAGAGCCCTGAGAGGTCTCCTCTCCCTTTTTCTGATTGTCTTTCACTGTCTGCATTTCTTGATTGACCCTGGGGACCGGCCTTTGCATGCTCAAAGGCTTCAACACCAGGGTCTGGAAGGAAGACTTTAAAGGGAAGGGAAGGGGTGGGGAATGGAGGGAGAGCTGGAGGGGGGTGCAGGCAGCAGGATTTAAGCACCCGGAATCTTATTTTCCTGTGGTTTCTAGAGGAATTTTCTTATAAAGAGGCAAATTCTCGTGTCTACCCCTGACCGTTCCCGGCTCACTGGAGCATTTTCTGTGTCGAAAGGTGACATCGAAAGGCTTCACTGAGCTGGCTTTGATAACAGGCTTGGGCTCCTCCTGCCCCCCCCCCCGCCCCGCCCCACTGTCCGGCCTCCCGTCCCTGGCCCCGCTGGCCTGATTAATCAGAACCCTGCCAAGCCCACTGAGGAGGGCTCCCTGGCTAATCTAATCGCCGTCCCCACGCGGGACAGACACCCCCGCTCGGCCAATGAGACGCGATTGTGCAAGCTCTGCTGGCCGGTGGAAATTTCCATGCGCCCGCGGCGGCTGCGGCGGCCCCTGGCGGCGTCGTGCGCTCCGCATTCCGCTGCGGTCCCCGAGCCGGTCCCCACGCCGGGTCCCCGAGCTGCGCGGCCCCGCTGCCAGGCGCTTTACCCGAGCCGCCGCGCAACAAGCTGGTGGCTTTTTTTCCCCCTTTGTTCTCCCCACCTCTCTGCAAGAAAAGCTTTCAATTGTGCAAATGCAAGAAAAGCTGGCGATGCCCGCGCGTGACGGGGGCGGGGGGGGGTGAAGAGAGAGAGGAGAGCAGGCTCCTCAGCTCCCGTGTTGCACAAGCAAGCTGTTAAGTCCTGCCTGGGTTTCTCCCCCAAGTTCCCGCACCGGGCTTTGCAACTCAGTGCGTGTAGGGAGAATGAATGAACTGGGCACCTTTCTAGATCTCTCCATCCGAGGACTCTGGCGACCTTTTTGAGAAGTGGCCGGTGGTCCTAGAGAGCGAAAGATGAGGAGTTAGCCAAGGTGTATTTCTAACGAAGGTGTGGAGGGAGATGGAGAGGGCACCCAGGACCCCAGGCAGTAAGATCAGTGCCATCGCCCAGAGCCGCACAGACAATTCCAAGGCCACAAAGAAGGGACATCTTGTTCAGCCTGCCTGTGCGGAGGAGGAGGAGGAGGAGGAGGAGGAGGAGGAGGAGGAGGAGGAGGAGGAGGAGGAGGAGATGCAGATCCCAGATAGGAGGAGAGGAGTTAGCCAGACAGAGAAGGGGGAGGCGCTGGGGAGCCTGTGTTCCAGCCCTGGACTGAGGCTGCTGGGCAGCCGGCTGCATTTCCACGAAGCTGGGCTGTGTTACCAGATCCCTATCTGTCTTTACTCCAGGTGAATTATTGCATTAAATCCACGTTATTCGGGGGGATCCGGGCCTGTTTCTGCTCCTTGCAATGTGAAAGGACCGACCTAGTGGACAGAGTCCAAAAATTAGAATGCAACCTTGCGGGAGAGCTGGTTCTGCCAAAAGACAATCACAATGGCTTCTTCTGGGATTGGAAGCGGGGGAGGGGGACCATGCGCCCTGAGCTATCTGGGAGGAAGGAAAGGGGGAAAATACGGGTTTTTCTTCCTAAAGGAGAGTATGAAGCTTCAGGAAGATCCAGGGAACAGAAAGAAGGGGCCACCCCCCTTCCAAAAGCCTGAGATGGGTGAACCAAGCCAAACATAGGGAGATAGAAAAGGTGGATGCCCCAGTTCCCCTAGGGGCCAGCTAGAGGTCCTGGAAAATCTGACTTTTATGAGTTTTTCACCTCTCTAAAATCAGGAGAATAACAATTCCTGAAACTAAACTAAAATGAAATGATATCTATGAAACTGCTCGTGGAGAAATATGTGGAAATTTTTACCCACGTATGCAAACAATATATAATCTATGTCTTTTTAGTTGAACCAACTGTGACAGAGAGCCATGGCTAAACTAATAGAGCAGTGCCTATATTAATGTATTCAGTAAATATTTACTGAGCACCTAACATTTTATGGGCATTGTTCTATGCCTGGGGAGACAACCCTGAAAGAAACAGCTATATCTGCTCTTGCGAAACTCAGATTGTGATGGGAAAGACAGGCCATAAAACAGATAAAGTTATAGACTATTTGAGGTGGTGATCAGTGGCTAGCAGGAAAGAGGGGTAGGGACATAGAAAGTAGGGGAGTGATTTTATTTTATTATTATTTTATTTTTGGATGTGCACATGCATGTGGTGGGGAGGATTGGGCAGGGGCAGAGGGATAGTCCGAAGTGGACTCCTTGCTGAGCTCGGAGTCCCACGTGGGGGTTGATCTCACTACACTGAGATCATGACCTGAGCTGAAATTAAGAGTCAGATGCTTAACCCCCTGAGCTACCCAGGTGCCCTGGGGAGTGACTTTGAATTGGGTAAGTAGAGAAGAGCTCATTGAAATGTTCATCTTTGAGCAGAGACCTGACAAAGAGGTGAAGGGGGTAAGCCCTTCTGGGGGGATTTCTGGGGGAAGAACATTCCAGGTGTGTGTGTGTGTGTGTGTGTGTGTGTGTGTGTGTGCAGGAGAGCCAGTGATTCAACGACGGGAATTGGGACTGTGACCCTCCCAGCTGGAGCAAAGAGAAGGCAGGCACTGTCCTGGGAGGAGGAGGACGAGTGGGTGATGGGGATGAGGTGAGTGTTCAGACAGGCAGTGGACAGCTCTGCTGAAGATTTCCCCTTGGGTCTTCAGAGACTGTAAAGCAGCTCCATTTCTAGCTTGGAGACTGGAGAGCAAGCAGTGAGCCTTAACCGAAAGCCTTGCTATGTGTTCGAGTGTATGCTGGGGACTCTGGAGAACACAAAGGAATTTAAATCAGACCCTTGCTCCGAGGGAGCCTGTGGTTTTGTCTGGAATAAAGTTGAGTGGCAAAAAGTAGTTAGTGACTGATACAAAAGAGTTCCTCACACTTGCTGAGTGCAGATGGGCCCCAAAAGGAGGAAGAAACTGCAAGCTTTGGGAACCCCAGAGGTACTCTGGGATTGTGATGGGAACCTAGCAGGTGCTCAGTGACTGTGGATCAAGGGAGTGCCTGAAGTGAAGCAGGGAAGGCTTTGTGGCTAATTGTCTCCTCTCAGGTTGGGGTGGCCTACAGCTTCTGGCAGCCACTCGCAGGCACCCAGCCAGTGTTTCCAGACCACGGCTGGGGCTGCTGTGGATGGTCCTCCAGCCACGCAGTGATGAAAGGCCTCGTGAAGAAGGAAATGACCTTGCTGGTTGCTGGATGGAATGTTTTCCCTGGAGAAATCACAAAATCAATCAGGTGTCCAGGCCTCAGCCTCACTCCTTTCCTGGGCCAGCCCAGGGTCCTGGGGTCAGCTCCTGGGGGGAGGTGGCTTCCTCTGACAGGCTAGTTTCCTTTCCAGGTCTCTGACTCTCCTTTGATTTTGTGATCCTGTTCCGAGGTGTCTCACCAGGCAAAGAGGGTGATCAGGGAGAGAGAAGTTTGATGAAATTGGTTCAGAAAACCCCACAGTGCCATGCCACTCAGAGCCCTTTGCAGGCCTGGCCAGCTGGCCCAGGGCTGACTCTCAGCAGCTCTAGAATGCAGCAGTGGTGGCCCCTCAGAGGCCACCCAGGAACCGGCTTCCTCACACAGGGGCCTAAGGCTCCTTTCCGAAATCAGAATTCTCACGGCAGAGTCTCCTAGCACTGGGCTTCCAGCTCTAGAATCACCCTTGACCTCCCTGAACAGGCCTGAGCAAGTCCTCAGACTTGCAGGGACTCATCCACCCCGGCTCTGTGCAACCAAGACAGCCACACATGCTTGTTGCTAAGCTCAGCCCAGTGGGAGCCAGGCTGCTCTGGTGACAGGGGAGGGAAAGAGAGGGGGCATTGCCCCATGCTTCCTTCTCATAGCTAAGCATTTATTTATTTCACATTTTGAGTAGGAAATATATCATATGATTCAAAAAACTAACAAATACAAAACTTGACACAGTGGAAAGTACCCTTTCCCATCAGCTCATTTCTCATCCCTCACCTCAAAAAGGTAGCCACTGTTCTTAATTTGTTTATCTCTAGATCTTTCTTTTTCTCTATTTTTTGCACATACAAGCAAAATGAATATATATGCTTCTCCCCTTTCCAACTTTCTACTTGCTCCGTTAGTATAAGAGCTGAGCTGCTATTCTTTTATTGTTTTTAAGGATTTTATTTATTTGTAAGAGACACACAGAGAGAGGCAGAGACATAAGCAGAGGGAGAAGCAGGCTCCCTGTAGAGTCTAATGTGGGCCTCTATCTCAGGACCCCGGGATCACAACCCGAGCTAGAGGCAGACACTCAACCACTGAGCCACCCAGGTGCCCTGCCACCTGCTGTTCTGTACCTTATTTTTTTCAGTTAACTCTGCCCTAGAGATCTTTCCATTGTGGTACATAGAGCACATCATTTTTCTTCTTAACCGATGCTTGCTTACTAAACAAAATGTGCCCCAACACATTTGTCCTCTATATGGACATTTAAGTTGTCTTTTGCCTTCACACAGTGCTGCCATGGATAACTTTCTAGTTCACGTTGCGCATGATTATGTGTATGCAGAAGGTAAATTCCTAGAAGTAAAATGGCTGAGTCAGAGGGTAAGTGCATCTCTAATGTGGACAGCTGTTGCCAGATTACCCTCTATAGGGGGTATACCAACCTCTGCTCCCAGGAACAGCTCAGGAGAGAGAGTGCCTGTGTCTCCAGAGCTCCCCAACAGAGTGTATTTTCAAGTTTTTGGATTTTTGCTATTCTGATACATTTTTAAAAAATCAGTATGGTTTGATGTGTATAATTCTTGTTATGATTGACACAGAGCCTATTTTCACATGTTTAGGGACCAAGTGTATTTCCTGCAAAATGTTCATATCCACACCCATTGGTCTTTGTCTCATCGGCTTGCAGGAGCTCTTTATGTACTGGGGAAATAAACCCTCTGTGATATGAGTTGCACATAGTTCTCACTTTGTCATTTACTTATGGGTTTGCTTAGGGTGTTTTTAAAAATGTGCTTGTTTTCTGCTGTGCAGAAGTTTTTGATTTTCATGTAGTTGAAATTGTCAACCATTTGTTTCATGGCTTCTAGATTCTGAGTCATGGTTAGCAAGACTTTCTTATCTCCCTTTTATGTCTTAGTTTGTCTTTGTGTTTTAAATTTTAATATTTAAAGTATATGCAGTTGGGATTTATTCTAACATAGATATGAAGTCTATATATATAAAATGTTTATCAAGGCACCTGTATGTTCAATTGGCTAAGCATCTGACTTCATCTCAGGTCATGATCTCAGGGTCCTGGAATCAAGCTCAAAATTGGGCATCCTGCTCAGTGGGGAGCCTGCTTCTCCCTCTTCCTCTGTGTACACTCTCACTCATTCTCTCAAATGAATACATAAATAAATGATCTTTAAAAAGTCACCTTGGATCAGTAAAAAATTTTCTTTTTATATTTTTATTGGAATAATATTTGCAAATTAACACTTCTAAGTTAAGGGAAATTGACATAAGGCAAAGTCTTCCTGTCTCAGGACATGATATGTCTTCTAATCTATTCAAGTCTTATACTTCTTTTCTCTGCTTTTTTTGGGGGGAGGAAGGGACTCACTTATGAGTGTTTAAAAGATTATGTAGGTCTTGCACGTATCCTGTGAGGCTTACTTTTAATTATTTTATCTTTTTTATTGTAAGTGAAGTATTTTCTTACATTATATTGCCTAACTGATTTGTTTGTATAAACAAAAGCTATTGACTTCTGTAGATTAATTTTACATATCCTACTATCCTACTGTATTCTCTTATTGATTGTAGTAGTTTTCACACATTTCTCTTGGGGTTTCAAAGAATAATACAAATCCCCTGCGAAGAGTGGTAGTTGTACCTCATTTTACTCAATTTTTATACTTTCAGTTGTGTTCTTTTTCTAGTTGTGTTGGCTAGTACCTCTAATACAAAATTAAATAACAGTGCAATAGTGAGCAAACACTTGTCTTATTCCTGACTCAAGGGCAAAGACTAGTATGTTTTGATTGTGTTTTTGGTTTTGAGGTTCAGATATATATTTAAAACATATCTATTTATTCTCATGTTATTGCCCTTGAAAAATAAAGGATGAATTGTCAAATTTTGTCACATTCTATTTGAACATGTATGAAGGTGATGACATAATTTTCTCCCTAGAATTAAGTGGATTTCCATAATATTGAATCATCTTTGGATTCTTGGAATAAGCCCCATATGGTCCTGTTGTGCATTATCTTCACTCACTAATAAATTGTCTGATAGTGTATTTGTTAACATTTTTAATGATAGTAAAAGTGCACAAAACTTAAGTATATAAGTAGAT